CGAGCCGCTTACGAAATCGGTCAACGGAACGGAGATCGTTTTTGCATGGTCTCGCTAGCCAATACCCCCTGTACCGACCGTATTTAAAATTCGGAACTCATGTGAGAGGGTGATAGTGCATCGCGTCATGAATTTTTACGTAGGGCCTTATGGGACGAAGTTAACAAGTGAGATTAAGTGTTCTATCAGACGAATGGTGCGAAAAAATGATCTTATCTCGTACCTACACACTGGAAAAAAACACATTGGATCTAGAGTCCAGACTCTTGAAAACATTGACAAGAAAAAATACTCTGATTTTTGCTTGAATCAAAACGAAATCCGCTTAAATTAAAAGACTTGGGTCTTGATTTAAGCTAGATTCTGATTGAATCAAGAGTATTTTTTCTTGTCGATGTTTTTAAGAGTGTGGACTCTAGATCCAATGTGGTTTTTTTCCAGTGCATGGTGGATTAGTTGAATGTAATTATCAACAATTTGCCCAATGAATAGCGGCTTTTCTGGTGGAGAATTTTACAAGCGTAACGATGCTTATTGCCGCCCCCACCACTGTGAGTTAATCATGGTATCATGCTGGCGCCAAATTGGTATCAATATGGTAACAACATGGTACCAAATTGGTCAAATCAACCAAAATGGGACCACATGGAACAATGTTGAGGCCAAGTTGGTTCCATTTTGATATCATGTTGGTAACATGATCTCAACATAGTAGCAACATGATCGTTTTCAGCGGGGGTCATCTGCCTTGAATCACGGGCAGTTTTCAGCACCTTGGAAGGACACATCAATCAAAATACACCAATAGATACCAAGTGTATTTGTAATTCGGGCACCCACTCAAAATTGTTTCCTATTAAATTATTTTATCCTCCTCTCAAAAAGCATCTAGAAATGTTCAGGTAAACATTCACATAACGCTACAAATTCTATGTAATAAAATGGAAATCATGCGGTGATTTTGCAAGAAACACGCGATGGTACCATTCATTTTAATTTCCACGTCCAACTCATAAGAAACAAACAAGCTCTCGAAGTTTTGCACATGGTCCAGGTGGTCTGTACCTCCTAAACTCCCCTCCCCCATCCCTCCCCCACAATGCCTTCATTTACTGCAGTTGAATAGTTCCAAGAACTACCTTCTGTCTCTGATTTCGCTGCCATCCATCGACTTCGTCTTATTATTGTCCATCACAAGATCTAAACCAATCCGAAGCAGTCCAAAAACTCATTAACCCTGTCGCAAGGCACGTCAGAGCCCGTCTTCGCTAATTAATTCATCCGGATCGGCAAATAGATAGATACACCAACCCATAATCAGAATCAGTAGCGAAATCAGTGGCCGGAGCCGGCTGTGGGTGGCTCATTCGTGCCAGCGCGGAACCAGGAGCGTGGATCGTGATAATCAGTCTGCGTGACTGACTCGAAGCCAGCGCCCTCGGCAATCCCCCCCACATCCGGATCGATATATTCCAACGGTCTCTTACCGGCGTATCGAAGTTCGATACACTCGATATTTCAACGTCCTTTAATATGTGTATCGAAGTTCGGTACGCGAAATGAGACCCGGATCGATATATTCCATCGATCTCTTACCGGCGTATCGAAGTTCGATACTCTCTATATTTCAACGTTCTTTAATACGTGTATCGGATTTTGATAGTCGGAATGAGACCCGGATCGATATATTCCAACGGCCCACAGTGGATCGAGTCAATTGGAGAGGTCGGACATGGAATTTTTGAATAAAACTGCATATTTTGATGTCTATTTTGTCATATTTTAAATTTAATGGGATGTTTCTAACGGAAAATTTCAGTAGAAAACCAATGAAACCACTTTTAGAACCTCAAAATTTAGATAAATGGAGATATTAGCGTTTAAAGTTTCCAAATTATGTTCGACCTCTCCCATCGACTCGATCCACTGTGCGGCCTCTTACCCGCGTATCGAAGTTCGATCCACTCGATATTTCAACGGTCTCTTACCCGCGTATCGAAGTTCGATATGAGAGGGCCTTTGAATGTATCTATTCGAGCGCGCAACGCTGCTCCCGAACCAGGGTTCAATCTGCTGATCAGTGCCACTGCATCTATGCAAAACATTACCCGTGCCCCCCCCCCTCCCCCCACGCCCCCCTGGGTCTCCCCGCGACCCCCCGGTGGCGTATCTTCCCGCATTGTTCCTAGGTGCCTCACTTCCTCGGCGCTACCGGTTTCGGTTTTTCTCGAATTCCTGCCCCGGGGGGGGTGGGGGGGGGCGTTTTCTTGTCAATGCTC